ATGAAAAAAGAGAAAAAAAAAGTCCAAATTTGGTCCTCCCAACATTGAAAAGCCCGAAAGACAACACAGAAAGACTTGCCAAATGCCCCCTTGGTTTGTTTTATTTAAATTTTTGGGATCTTGGTCATTTAATATCTAGTTCTCACCTCTGTATACATCATCTTTCTTGGAATTTACAATACAGAAAAGCTATGGTGCTACTGTCGCATGACTTACCATGTCCTACTTATATGGAAAGAGGTTCGTGGGTCCCATCACACCTCTCATTCTTCAACTAAGGGAAGAGATTCACACTCCATCTTACCATAAAATAAAAGGTAGAGATGCCATCAAGAGTGTTTCTTGTTCCTTTTTCTCTGCAAAGTTGGAATGCTCTCCTTTGTTATTGTTAGATCTTGCATTGCATTCAGGCTTGTAATGACCAAACTTGTGGCAGCAGTAGCACTCGATGTTGGACTTATCAAACTTTGAGTCATTGTTGAGAGATTGCTGGTGGTGATCATGTCCTCTGCCTCTACCCCGAGAATCTTGTGTATAAGAACCTCTTTCTCTTCCTCGTCCTCTTCCACGGCCTCGACCACGACCTCTATTTGATCCTCTCCCTATAGAGCTTTCACCATGAGTTGAATCCTTTAAAGCTTGTTTTTCGGTTGAACATGTTGATGTTGTCATTCTCTACTCATACACAAACAAAGAACTTTGCAGTTCATCGATTGAAAGTTCATCAAGATCTTTTGACTCCTCAATAGAACAAACCACATAAGAGAATTTAGGAGCCATTGATCGAAGAATCTTTTCCACCACAGCCACATCTTCAATTTTTTCACCATGGATACGCATCCTGTTTACTATTGCCAAGGTTCTTGAGAAATACTCATCAACAGACTCTCCTTGCTTCATGTGAAGAATCTCAAACTCTTTGCGAAGAGCTTGAAGTTGCTGCCTTTTCACCATTGTTGTGCCCTGATACTTTTTCTTCATGGAATTCCAAATCTGTTTACAAGTATCCTTTTGCAGAATAGTCTCCAAAATGAAATGATCAATTGCTTGAAACAAATAATTCTTTGCCTTGAGATCCTTTAACTTCCGTTCTTCTAGTTTCTTTTGCTCTGCTTCTGACAATACAACTCCAGGAGCTGATTCAGCCACACCTATTTCCACAATAGTCCATTACTCCTTGGATCGAAGAAAATTCTCCATTAACATACTCCAATGATCATAATGACCATCAAAGCGAGGAATTGCTGGTTGCACATAACTGTTGTCTGATGCCATTGTCGCCTGCTGGCTGTCTGCAAAAGAACAAAATGAACCCAAAACCCTTGTTGGCTCTGAAACCAAATGTTAGTGCTTAAAACTGTCTAGAACATACGTAAAATGCAAAGTTAATCTATTGATTGGAGAGCATCATTTTATTGATGAATTTAAATCATTAAATACAACTAAACTAGAGATGCACGTAGCAGAAAAATAGGCAGCAACTAACCCATGACTAACAACTCCTAAGCTCATGGATTTTTCCTAAAGAATTGGTAAACACTACCTAACTTCCTAAAGAATAGGATTACAAATTTATTCTGCTGAATAACAACAAAATAATAAACTTTAACATCTACTCTACTTTTCTTCATTCTAATTGCTTTCATTTATATCACTTTTAACAAAGGTTCGAGAGAACTCATCTGGTGACTTCAAAAGAATGTTTCGTCACATCTCAAAAGGATCATGGACGTTTTCAGATCAAGACCATGGGTGGCAGATTTCAGATTGCACAACAGAAGCACTAAAGGTAATTAGCTCATCAAACCCATCACTATGTACAATTTAGCCATATTCTAATGGTTTGTAATAATTGTCCTTGATCTATTGTTTTATAGGCTTGGTGAGAAAATGGAAAAAGAGTGATTGTTTGATGCAGTGAATGTTCTCCTTTCCCTACAATTAAGAATTTAAGTCATCATGGTAATTTATTTTAGTTATCAACAGTTAAACTATATTGACTTTGGATGAATTATTTGCACCATACTTTCTCTTAAATACATTTACACAGAAAAACTGATAGGGTCCTACATCAAAACAAGCCTTTTTTTTTGTTCCATATCTCTTTATTAGAAGAAAATATTGAAAATTTCTAGAATGGAATGTAGCACTAATGTCAATAAATTATTTAATTGCAGTGTCAAAATGGCGGTTTAGCATGCTGGGAACCAGCTAGATCAGAAAATTGGTTGGAGGTAAGCTTCTTTGATTTTTAACTTCTGTTATGCAAGATAATTCAAATATCATTGGTCCATAAGCTGACAACTCAGTTTCTCTTTTTCATTATTAAAGATGATTGAATAATAAATTATAATAACTATGCAAAGAAAAACCATATATACATAGAATAGATAATTATAGTAATTTGATTAATCTCTCCAAGACCTCATAATTGAACCCTATCAAGTGTTACATGAGTGATATCTCCTCAATGGACTAGAAAATCAATTACATAGGCTGGACGGATTTCCCACAAAGGAATATGTTTAAAGAGTTAACCATGAAACTAAGGTTCCCTAATTAATCTAGCTAGTTGGAGCTTCCCCAAATAAACCTGCCTATTTCTACCATACGGATGGATTTATGGCCAATCCAAACAATCTATCAAATAGGGGATCAACCACATTGGGTTGGCTATATGTTCAATCCCTCAATCCATTCCTCTACCTTCTCTGTATTGGAGGTTTTCAAAAAAGCATTAATAGTTCATAGTGTGATATTGATTGTTCATTTAAGGAAGCTTATCAAAGCACACCAACAAGAGACCATTGGATTAGTGATGTCTAAACTTCTTATGTGTCTTGGAGTGGTCCCAACTTGTATAGAAATTATTGGTCTTCTCTTATACTGCATCATCGTTTCCAGGTTGGGGAGAATCTGTCCTTGTATTCAAATCATCATCTGACTGATTGCCAACATATGGTAGCAAGTGTTTGACAATGAAAACATAATGGGTACATATATGTTTGGGTAGCTTTAGTCTATATGCATTCTCATTGATGACTTCGACTATCTCACATGGTCCAACCTTCCTTAGTGCCAACTTTCCACGTTGTCCAACCAGTAGGCGTTCCTCTATTAAAATGACCCAAACTTAGTCTCCCACATCAAATACTACTTTCCTCCTATATGTATTAAGATGAGTCTTCAAAAACCAACTTTCTAATCAGTTGGTCCGAATCTCATATGCATCATTCTCCCCAGGTTGGAAAGAATCCGACCTTGGATTCATGTTACCATTTAAGAGGCTGCCAACATATGTTGTTGCACTTCCATTGTGCTTCTTTGTTTTTTAACCCTTTGATAGATAATTGGTGATGTAAGCCTCCAATACGAATTGAGATTTCTTCATTGTATATCTTAAATTTTGAAGTATATTTCTTACACTTCGTAGAACATGAATATTCTTTTATTGATCCTTTTGAACATTGCAAGAGTGCTTGCCAATAAGGATCTTCATAGACATGCATGTAAACAATGTGATCATGATCCCCAAGATGTTAAGTATTATCTCCATCATATTGAAATTTATAATGAGTGATGGCATATTCCTCCTTAGTAATTGGTTCTTCATCATAGATTGGAGGTTTGTTCCAATCAACAAGTTTTTCTTCAAGAGATATTGTTAAGGAGAATGGCCACACCTCTTTTAGAACCTCCACACCTTTCAATTCAAACCCCTTGTCAATTAAAGCATATGCAACACCCATCTCCTTTAAGGCATTTGTGAATTCAGTCATGGCAACCTTCCCACCCATAGTACACATGGTGTGAAAAATATTATTTCTTAGCCAATCTGATGATTCATCCCTAAGAGTTAGGAATGATGGCTGCATCACCAAGGCCTCTCCCACATCTCCATACACCATTTTTCCCTCTCAGGTTTCTTCATCATAAGGGTCAAACACAGGTGGGGTTGAATAGTCAAATGCTTCTAATTGGGTTTTACTCTCATCTTCTACAAACATCGCCCATTTTCTTTTATCACTCTTCGCACATTCAACCGATTTATGGTCTGATTCATCACACTTAAAACACTTCAGTCCAGATGGACCCACCTAGTTTTGATTAGGTCCATGTCCTTGGTTTTGGTTTGGCCAACAAGATTGTAGTTGAGTAGTTGAACTTAGAGGCAGGTTGGGATTAATATGTGGGGGTGATTTGGCCACATCAGTTTGGGTTCGGCCCAATTGGTTAGGTCAGCTGCTTTTTTTTCTATAGTTAGAACATGTTGATGTGCCATAGAAACATCATAACAATCAAATAGGTCTAATATGTCCCGAATATTTGGTCTCAACCCACCTATATACCTAGCCACCAATTGGTCTTTAGTTTCAATTAACTCATTTTGGCCACTAATAGATGAAACTTCTTTGTATACTCGTCTATTGTGGGGATACTTGCGTCGGAATCGTTGTTCCCTCGCAGAAATTTCAACTCCTGAGTAAGTGCCTTGACTTGTCTTCTCAGCTCCTTTATCTCTCTTTGTGTTTTGTTGTTGGGTTCCTAATCCTTGATGTGAGCTACTTGTTTCGTCCTAATATGAGTCAAGATTTCTATGTAAGCCATATATAGCTAGAGGAAGACTCTGGTTCTCGATGATAAGTGAGTCAAGATTTCTAAATAAGCACCCCTATTTAAATTGGACTACAATACCTTATATAATTGTTTGAAAACTGAAATGCATTTTATACTGAAAGTATGAAAGCCACCTATATCGGCACCTCATTTTAGCATTTCATTCACATTCTATCAACTGCCCAATAACTCCCTTTGAAGTCATGTAAAGGGTCCCATATACACAACATAATTAATGTGGTAGATATATGTCGGATAGCTATATAAGAAATAAAATTGTGTAGCCCAATTACCATAAACAACAAATAGATTTCATCTTTAATTATGGGAAAACTGAACAGAGAGAAAATAAAATAAAAACTCTATGTAAAGGGTATGATATAAAACATATATATAAATTGACTATTCATAACCAAGATCAGTTGGATGTTGATGAGGAACTGATGAGACTATTTGTGAGCATGAAGACGAACTGGGAAACCTTTGGCTGGCATGGGCATTGGGTTGACGATGATCTTCTCATCAGAAAGAATTTTCTCCCATCTAAACCTCTTTACCACGTTATGCATGAATACAAGAATTTCTAACCGAGCATACTCTTTTCCTGGGCACATTCGAGGCCCACCTCCGAACGGAACATATGTGTATGGAACTGGACCAGTTCCATCGAACCTTGATGGGTCGAATTTTTCAGGCTCTGGGAAGTATTCAGGATTCCTGTGTGTCGAATTTGCAGCCCAGTATAACTGCAGTCACATAGGAATAATGAAGATCAGTAATAATTTATGTTGGAGACTGGTACAGATTAAAAAATTGTTATTAATGGTTGTTAGAATAACAGACTGCATTTACTAATTAACAAATTAAAATCATACTTTGGGAGTGGGGAGTTGGGTCTTGATTAATTTTATACCTTCCATCCTTTTGGAATGCAGAAACCAGCAAATGTGAAATCCATTAGAGCTTCCCTGAAAGCTCCCTGAAGAGGTGGTGCAAGTCTCATCACTTCACTTGCTACGTTCCATGAGTACCTCATCTTCTGCATGTCATCCCAGTTTAGCCTCTCTCCTGGGGCTTTGCACTTGGCGATCTCCATTTGCTCTGTAACCCAGTTAGACACAAAGCAGAAATTATCTAATTAATAGAACCGACCAGCTTAGATTAGTCGATTCATTAATCCAGAAATGAGAAATCAATCATCTTTAATTTGGTGTTTAATTACCCTGTAAGACTTGATTGTAGATATCGGGAAGCTCTGCGAGATACTTCATGACGAAAGTAATGGCAGCGCTGGCCGTGTCGTGGCCGCCGATGAGTAAACCAAGGATCTTATCGGCGATGTCCCTCTCGTTCATGAAGTGGCCGTCCTCGTCGGTGTAGAGGAGCATGTGGGACAAWATGTCTTGCGTRGGTGACGCCCTATTCTCAGCAAGATCGATCTTTCGTTGCTTGATGATAGCCAGAAGCTCCTTCCTGATCTCGTCGGATGCCTTAATTCCTTTGTTGAATGATGTTCCCGGAAGATCTATCGGTATCGAAAAGATTCCAGAAGCCAAGGCGTTGAATGGGTCGGCAAACTTGGCGACGTGGTCGGGATCTTCGATGCTCAAGAACAACCGGCAAGCCAACCAGAAGGTGTACCGCTTGGCCAGAGGGAACACAGTCACCTCATCTCTATCATCCCAACCCGCCTTGAAGTGTCTCTGAGCGATGGAGTCCATGATTCCGATGTACCTCTGCAGTGCTTCAGGCTTGAGGAACTGGGGAAGCAATTTACGCATCTTCTTGGCCTCCTCCTTTGACGAGGTCTGCGTGGAAGAAGGGAAGATCTTTTCGACAGAGCGCGGCCACCAAGCTGTTACAAGCTTGTTCTCGTTAGAGAACAAGAACTTGTTTCCACTGGGGCCGCAGAACACTGCGGTGTTCTCTCCAAACAACGAAGTCCTGAAGACTTCCTTGGAGAACTTCGCCATTCTGTCGTACATGAATTTCTCAGGAGTGCCCTTACGTCCAAGAGACAAGAACTGGATACTTTCCCCGACGAACGGCAGACCCATCTTTCCCGGCGGGAGTTTTCCACCGGAGGGATTGGATTTGCGTTTGTAGACGAGGTAACGAAGGGAAAGAGAAATGAGGAGAGCCACCAGGAGAAGCAAGGAGAGGAGGAAGAGCTCCATATCGTTGCTGCTCATGTGATGGATGCTCAGATGAGAGCAACGATTCGATTGAGTCAAGCTGGAGAGGCTGTTGTCAGTTTCAAGCGATATTTATAGGCTAGGCAAGGCAGAACCAAACCAAACTCCATTCAGATTTTGACATTATAATTCCGAGAAGGAGCCGGCCGACTGGACTGCGACGGTGATCTCAGCAGATGTGAAATCAAGTCGGCCTGATTATTGGTCAAAGAAAACTAATATTGATTATTGGATATGTGATCGACGAGTGAGAGTCACCGCTAACACAACCACTTCACATTTTACATATGGAAGAAATTAATTAAAGAAGGGAATTTAGGACCCCAATTAACTGTAGTTAGAGGCTGGCGCTGAGTGTGATTTATTGGTTAAACAGCTCCTAACCCATCAAAGTCTATAGCTAATTGGGATCCGCCACCCGTTAAACCCCTTGACCAAACGTTTTCTATTAAAATAAAGTTTCTTAATGCTTATAATGTGAATTAAACCCAGATCAATTAATTATAGTACAAAATCTCTTAACACTACTTTAAGTCATTAAGATATCTCACATTTTGTGTTATTAAATGAAATAAAATAGATTTTATTAACTTTTGTGTTCATCAAAACAATCAATACATATATATGATTAATAATTTCAACTAAAAATTAAAAGAAATAATATTTAAAATTTACATTTTATAACTAAATGAAATAAACAATCTATCAAATCCAAATTTACATCAAATGATGATTTTAATCCCAAGAAATTTATACAAATAAAATATTAATAATAGAATAATTATCTTAGTACTTAAAATTTATAAATTTGTGCATGATATATAATATAATGGGTTCATATTATGCATCCCAGGTATCAGGTATGGGATACTCCAAAATCAAAACCCAAACCTTATAGGATTTTAACCTAAAATCCCAAACCCTATAGGATTTTGATAAACGGGTCCTATTAAAATGAGGATGGGTTAGATACCCGAAAATTCCCATAAAATTACCATCCCTACAACCAACTCTACCTACATGTATACATGGGGTAATTAATTCTTTTTTTTTCTATTGGAAATTGGATTTTATGATACTATTTACACTAAAAACAAATCAGGAGCAAAAGTTAAAAATAGTGTGGTCATGCAATAGCTGTGACATTAAACCGTTTAGTAGAATCCGGATTATAAGGATCCCATGTAAGGCCCCATATGCAGTGTGGATGTTAAGAGTAGACTACGAGACCTTAACTTTCTCAATAGAGAGAATGGACGTGGATTTTTTCTTTTTCCCGAAATACAACTAATTAATTTGGGCTTTCCAGCTTTTTAACTGAATAATGTCCATAACTCATAATATGTTTGGGTGGGGCCCACCCCCGCAAGTCCAAAAGATCCTACATGAAAGCCCTCCCAAAGAAACAATGTTAATAAGGTTTGAAGAAACCCCTCCAAATCATGGATCATAAAGCTAATCAATGCAGCAGCATTTTCATAAAAAAATGGCAAACTTGATTGAAAATATCCGATGGTACGTGAATGCTGTTCCTTATTGACTATAATTGAAAACAGTGGGGCCCATTTTTGTCAAACTGAAATTTGACATTTTTTTTTTTTTTTTTAATTCAAACGACCATAAAAATTGTATGGTTCGGTTGCAAGCATTTTGGCCAATTGAATTGACCTCTTAGGTTGGCAAACAAGTAAACCAAAACCGGTCGATCATAAGAGAAAACTGATTTAACCATGAAGGATCGGTTTGTGTTGCTTTCTCGGTTTGATCAGGTCGGTCTACTAGCTTAACATGGATATGAGCGCCCCATTAGGGAGGTAGATTTTTACCATGATGCACCATTGCACCATTAGAGTTTAAAGAAGAAATGAGGGAAGAGAGCAAGAAAATATGTGAGACCAACACACTTGGAAATGAGGAGTTGCAGAAAAAAATGGAAAGAGAGAGAGAGGGGAGGAAGAGGAGGAGGAAGAAAAAGAGTTTTGGGCTCCTAACCTGATGTGGCTTTTTATTGAGGTGGCAGAGTAGTTGGTTGATTGCATTGATCATTGGATATATTTTTGAAAATATGACAATCTTGACCTCATAACCCCATTATATTGTATAAAAAAGAAAGAAACATTTTCGTAATTAAAATTCAAAGTTTTAGACTTTTAGTTGTATCGGTGCTCATGTTCCCTAGACAAAGCAAAAAAGGACAAAGAACAGGGGGTGGGGAGTTGTGACACCCCCTGAGTTTAGACCAGACTCAAGGTCATGCCTGATCTTTCCAACCCAAGCCCAGCCAAACTGAAAATTGACATACTCGGGTTGGGCCCTAGCCTGTGCCAGGCTCGGTTTGCTCAATTAGGCTCAAGTGAGCGTCTTAGGCTCAATATACCAAAAAAAAGTTGCATAAACATATTTAGCTTCGCTGATTTAAACATTTAAGTAGGAAATTCGTATATACTGCATATAAGTATGCATGGATATGTGTATATATGATTGAATGCACGTATGCATATATGTGTAGTTGGGCCAGTCTTGGATTGGGTTTGGATCGGGATTGGATTATTTAAGGGTTAGGCTGGAGCCCAGCCCAAAAATATGAAAACCTTAAGCTTTGAGGCCAAGGCAGAGAACTAAAACATCCAAACCCAGCCCATGTGAAGATGTGGACTGGGTTGGTCTAGGCTAGAGTTGGGCCTGTCCAAGTTACACCCTTACCTCGGGTCCCACTTTATTACCTCAGCAATCAGCTCCCATTAATTGAGAGGCTGAGGTTGTCCTACACCGTATGTACTTCGCACTAAAGCCCTAAAAATGTCTAGAGTGCAAAAATCAGAGAATTTTGTTATTTTAAGACCATGGGATTTGTGCTCTTGGAGGATTCTTCTTAGGTTCATTTTGGAAAGAGGACAAATACAAATATGTAAGTACAAATACTTACAAAATAATACAAAAAAACAAGGTTTTGCATTTTACATATTTGTATTTGTAGGCTCAATTTGGAAGGAATACAAAATATAAATATATAAACCAAAAATTGCAAAACCTTATTTTGTATTGATTTATATGTATTTGTACTCTTTCAAACTGGACCTTAGGCTGTATTTGGTTGCACTGCAAATTTATTTGCATTAACACAAATGCATGGGAGTGCAAATATAAAAAATGCAAATTCTTATTTAATTTTGTTTTGGATTTTAATTTATTCAACTTCATGTCTTATTTTACTTCATTTGTACTAAATAAAACAAAATAAGCTAAAATTTGAAACAAAAATAGGTCAAAATTTACACTCAAATCATTTGGAGTGCCATGGTTTTGCAGTGCCATGGTTTTGTTTACATTGCAACCAAACACAACCTTAGGCTTAGTCTGGAAGGAGTATAAGTACAAATATATATAGTATAAATACATAGAGAAATAGGTGTGGCTAGGGTCTCTCTCTCTATCTTTCCTATTTTCTTTTTATCTCGTTTTTCCCATTTTTATGATTTTTTTATAATGGCAATTTAAAAAAGAAAATCAAATAGCTAAGGAAAATTGTTTTCTTTTTTTTTTTATTTACACATTTATTTTGGATTATATGCTTATGGGTAGGGGTGGCAACGAGCCGAGCTCTTCACGAGCTATTTGAGCTCGGCTCGTGAAAAGCTCGACTCGGCTCGGTTTCAACCAAGCTTCGAGCTGAGCTCGAGCCCAATTTACAGGTTCGATTAAGAAACGAGCCAAGCTCGAGCCTAATAGAGCTCGGCTCGTGAGGCTCACGAGCCAACTTGAATATATGTATATATATATATATATATATATATATATATATATATAGAAAACAATATAAACAATAAAAATATTATAATTCTTAATTTTTAAACATCAAATAAAAATATTTTTATATATAACATTTTAATTTTATAAAACATTTTTCTCAAAATCGAATTTAAGCAGAGTCGAGCTCGAGCTTACAAGTTTTTAAAACAAACCAAGCTCGAATTCAAGGTTCTAGCTTGAACCAAGTTCGAGGTCGAACTTGAACCTTGTAAAAGAATCTCGAGCCGAGCTCAAATCTTGTACTATTCGACTATGCTCGGCTCGAATCCACCCCTAATTATGGGTGAGGACTTATATTGAAAATAATTTAATAATTCTACAAAATTAGAAGAAATAATTTCTGATTTCTCTCCTAGCACATCTGAATGAATAATGTAATAGTGTTGCATTGTCGGTGGAAAAAGTTTGATTCGTTGCAAACCACATCACTCCACCAGTGTATTTTCAAAATCATGTAACACATGGGCTGGGCTGTAAGAATTAAGTGCTCAAAGTTGTTCTGCCAATACGAAGACTAATCCCAAGATTCTAATAATGGATGAGGCCCACATTCATTGTATGTTTTTTATTAATGTGGGGCCCAAGATGTACGGATCAATGGTATGTTCTTTGTTAATTAGTTATTCAGTCCGTTGTATACACTTTATTTAAAAAGGTGGTGTTTTGGCTTAATATTGGAATTGACAAGCTTGCAACATTGAAATTGACTAAACCACATCTCTACACAGGAGAGAGATCAAAGTTTGCTTCAATTTAGGGTTTGATCTTAATAATAATGTGATGCCACCAGCCGGTTTGGTAAGTTTTGTTTTGCTTGTGAAAGTCCATGCTTTCACGGCTCACCTAAAATTATTTTTCCAAATAATCCAAGAAATTTTGCTGGATAAACGGTTTGACGGTTCATATGTGTCAATCTTGTCAATCTGGTTATCATAAAATGTAAATTTAAAGGTGAGTGATGCGGGCTGATTCGGCCCGACCTATTGGACAAGGGACACGTGGATGCTATCGGACAGCAAGATGATGATTTAGTGCTCCCCACCACCTCGGCAGGATGAGCCACTTTGGGTACCTTGGCCACCTCAGCTATGACTAAGATGAGAGCAGCTTGGAACAGTCCAATTTGCCAAGGTGACACGTAGCAGATTTCTAGAAGCCTGCCAGCTATTTCTGACACCTCTGGGATCATGCCTCGCAACCGATGGCTTTACCCTTAGCCCGCCTGATTTGGGCGGGCACGATAAGCATTATCTGAAGACACAATAACTACTATCCGGTATGGAACGGACTCCTAATAATGCGGGAGTGGATCCTGGAAACGTTTCATGAGACTCACGACACTACTATATAAGAGCACAGACCCCCAAGACCCAGGTACGTGCAATTAAGTGTATTTTAGCTTT